TAATATCATTTAAAAAAAACACAACCTAGCAAATTGAACATCAATTGATCCTCCAATTAAAATGGAAATCCTTGGGATTGGTTTAGGGTAGTGTGCTGAAGCAGGCATATATAATGTAATCAAAGGGGAATCACTTCAAAATCAGTTCACTAGCACTCAAGATGAGAGTGAGAAAGACTCTTCACTTCCCTATATATCGTTTGTCCTTCTGCACAGTAACCATCTTATTTCAAATCATTGGTTTGCAGATCCAAGAAAATATATCGGTTACCTAACGTAACCTCGGTTCTCTCTTGAAAAGGGAACAAGTATTGCGTAAGTTAGCTTAACGCTATACGGGCAGTGCTCGAAGTGGGGCGGTACTCACGGCTACGCAGTACCAGCACTTCTAAATTTTGCTCTTAGCTCTTAGAGAAAATAAATATGATTTCACACAAAAGTGCCCAAAATGCACAGAATTTGCATGCTATAGAGTGTTTTAACAAGAACTAGAGTAGGCTATGTCAGAAAAGAAAAAGACTCAAACATATTTATACAAGATTTAGCCATTTAAACTTTTTTGAAGTTTGGGTAAAACTATTTTTTATAAATAAATAAAACGAGCAAACTAGTCAGAATATAAGCTTTTCTTTTAGTTTATGTAAAAGCCTACACAGACAGGTAGCCTGCATGCTCAAATCAAACCCGAGTGTAGGCCTACTTTTTATGTTTGCTGTCTTGTAAACATATCGAAGTACAGTATGCCTGAAAAGACAATATCAGACCTGTTTTCTTGGTTGTTTTTATTGTTTACCATTAACATGCAATTGTTGTATACTTCCCATCTTAACAAACTTCAAGAATTAAGTTTATTAATGACCAACTTCTAAAAAGAGAATGTTTCTTTGTAAAGAAATGCGCGCACACACGACTTGTTTAAATAAATTTATATTGGTAATAAATAACAATAAATTGTTGTTGTACGAGCAATATTTCCAAGTTTTGTTTTTCTCTGTAAAAATTTCAAATGTCATGATTTGCCAATGCAAGAGAGTACCGGCACCTTTTTTCCCCCACTTCAAGCACTGGCTACGGGAACTCGCGCAATACAAGAGAACCTCTCGTAAGAGAACCACAGAACCCAATGACATAAATATTATTATTATTCAACTCTACTGATAATAATAATACTGATTTACAAATGTTTATAATATAATAGGATTATTATTATTATACTTTCTTTTCAATTTTGAATAAAAAAAATATTGCACACTAGAAAATAATACTTAAGGGTAACTAAACCCCTGGTCAGAGCCTGACTCCACCCACTGGCAATATTTGAAAAATGCTGGAAAAGTGGGCAGAGCCCAGCGGAGGGGGGCGTGCACCTGAGACGCATCTCTTTGTATGGAACTTGCCTACGTCACCAACAACCGCTGTGTCACGTACCACCGCAAACATCCAATAGGAAAATTCAACTGCAGTAGCCACCGTTCAACCCGAAGAGGGCATCACTAAGACGTTTTTACACCATATATTGTCGAAATAGAACACTTTATAAACAAATGCCAAAAAAGTTACTCGAATCAATGACTTGTATTAATAAAGATCCATTCTTACAGATCATTAACTAAAAAAAGTTGGTTTAGTGTTTAGTTACTCTTTAATATAAATCCTGAATTTAACTGGTAGCCAATGCTTAGAGGCCAGAATATGTGAAAGTGATTTTATTTTTGATGCAATTTGATAGTCAAATAAGCATTAAAAAGCAAACATTTTGCTACACACACTCACTTGTCAATGACAGTGTCATTTGATCAGAATAATAAAGAAAGATCTTACATTCATTACTCGCCCACACACAAAGCGGTGTAGATTTATGTTCATTCATCGGCGACCGTTGGCACCTTGTGACCTGCATGGCTAATGGAGTCTCTGCATTATTAACAAAGCTCTTCATACTGTGGCTCTGCAGCTGCCCGCACGCCGCCCTTGGCAATGCTAGCTAGCCCCATGCTACACAGAGACCCCCTGTCATAGCTTCTCGGCACTGAAGCGCTACAGTGCATAAAAAAAAAGCCAATAACTACTTAACATTTGTGCCAGTGTGACACTTTATTGACTACCTTTTGGACTTAGCCAATCGAGTTAGCGGCGTGTGCTTGCTGTTAGCTCAGCTTGATGGGGGGCTACATAATTTTAGGCACGGTGGCCGTAGGTTTAACTAATGGATCTGCTCAAACGACGAGCTTGGTATAGTGTGACTTCAAATGGCTGGCAGTAGCATCAAATATTTACCAGTCATGCTGCTTTTCCACCTGCTCTCCCTCTGCTGGAGCGTAGCGGAGTGCGTGTGATCCAGCAACATACCACCGTGTTCGCTGTTTTTGGACGCCGCTAGGAAGAGTATTGACCTCGGTTCCCGGGCAGGGATGGTTTGCAGGTCTCTGATGAACAACTTTGGCCACAGAATATGAGGCGTGATAGTATCAGTTTCTTTTTTTGAGCACCAGTTGAGAACAGGGCAGGTGTTCTGCTGGTCTTTGGCTTCAGTTCTTTTGTCTGAAAGCAAAATCGCTGTGACTTCCTTTCAGAAAGATATAATAAAATGGTGTCATGTGGCCCAAATCAAAATAATTGCATTGATTTGAGTTCCTTTTTTCAGATAAATGTTTCAAATCATATGTATTTGTATAAGTGTTGATGGTCTCATACTCCAATAACAAGAAATACATAGCTGCCTTTGGGAAATTGATGTTTCTTAGAGTCGTCAGAGCTCCTTCGGAGAAGTAAACCTAATGTATATGAAATACGGTCAATGATACTCAATTCACGAACAAAGTAAATGGCTCTCTTTGTGAATAGGCAATTGAATCATTGGTTTACCCGATTGATTCACTCAACATGTTGATTTATTCCGAATTTAAACGCAACAGTTCTGCTCTCGCTTAGTAGGTAATATTTTTGTTGGCAAAACTAAACAAAAGCAGACAATATTGTGTCTAAAATATAACACAATATTAACTTATTTATTGAACTATTGTAATAAATCAATATCACATTTGCACTGCTATTTGGGACAAAACATCACTTGAGAAATATTGCACTTGTTACTCGAGTGAAATTACTTAAAGTCGGCATGAAATCAAATTTGACAAATCTTCTTTTTATATGTAATATTGTAGTGTTTATTATAAATGATTTATCTGTGCACTTCATTATTTTTTTTTTAAATTTGTGGAATGACGTGGAATGACGAAAGGGTGCGGCCAGATCCGATGAGGGTGTGGCTATCGGTGCACCGCCTCTCAGAGAATCGCATTCAAATCTGCCTCCATTTTGTTTGCAACGCCCAACCTCCAACGATCCAATCAATTCCCGATGGACGAAATCAAGCCCTGCCCTTTTTTTTCTAATTTCAGAAGCCGTTTCAGTTGGACATACGTCACGACAAGGAAAAAATGACAATATCAACTTCTGTTTCACGCCGACTTTAACTATATCATGATATAAGGAGACAGTAACTCATAAAGGGGCATTTTTGCCCTGATATCTTGAATTTTAAGGGCATTCTAACTGCATTTGAGATGCTACATCATGCTGTGGGTTGTTGCTCTGCTTCATGTTCGTCATCAATCATTTTATCAGAAAGAAGTCTGTCTTTTTCATCTGAAGATCCTTATGACATGTCATTTAATCATAATGTTTCATCAAAATCACAAAAATGTGGAAAATTAAACGCATATTCACGATACAATCAATAGCATGCATTTAAAAAATAATAGATAGGGTGAATTTTCATTTAATTCCAATGTCTCTACTTAATTTCAACTGTTTTCTGACATGCTTCAATAATTTTTTTTTTGTCCACGTCAGTTTATCAATTTCAGCCACCGCTTTGAATTGCATAAAATGTACCCTAAACAAATTGATTGATTTCTTTACATGTCATACATCATACTCTGAGCGGGCCAGAATCAGAATATAAGGACATATGGACCAGACCTTTTGTCTGTTAGTCAAATGTGATGCTACATGAGACTTGTGTCGGCTATAATAAGCGTGGTTCTTTCCTGAAATAATGTGCTCCAGTTTTACTCGTTTCCTTTTACTTATATTCTGATTTATATTAACAGCAAAAAGCTACATGCACACAAAGCACCAGGAGTATTTTATTGGTCAAGGAAGAGTGCATGCCTGAGGCATGAGCTAAATCATCATGACTATGTGTGACACTGAGGAAGATGAGGGAGTCCAGAGGAAAGATGAGAAAGCTGAGATACAGTAAAACAGAATACGCTTCAGGCTGCTTGAAGATATTACAGAGAAACATGAAGGCTCGCAGGAGTGCGCTTGAGACAAATACGGAAGGACAAATAGTCGTTTTTCATTTAGGAACCACTTAAATGGTTTGCTTAAATCCAGCAGAAATATTGCAGCAGAAGTCATGTAGCGTTCTTGAATTCTGAATATCATTTTGGCATTAAAATACAACATCCACAATAGTGATGAGTTAATTTACCTTTGTTCTTGGCGGCAGCTAATGAAGGCCGTTGCGTGATAATGCTGATATTAAAATATGTACATGAAGTCATACCCTCATTTAGCCGAGTGAAGTACCAAGGGGACTTAAAAAAAGAGCGCAAAGCCAATGAACAAAGACAAAATGGTGTGCTGAGTTTGGATTCAGCATGTTAAATCAAAGACAATTACAACTGCGCTGCTCTGTCCCATGTTAATGAGCCCAGCTCTGAATGAAAGGATGAATAAATCATGGTTCAGAAAACACATTTGAGGCTCCCGCTTTTCAGAGCCTTGTGTGTGTGTTTATTGATAGACCAGCGGAGCATCACGACTAACATCAAAGCAGCTAGACAAAAGGGATTCACTCTTATATGTTCTCCAATTCTTAGGGCCGTGTGTGTTATAATGACAGCGGTCTGAATGAGAGATAGAGAGAGCGCAAATGAGAGGGGGAGAGAGAGGGAGAGAGAAAAGGGAGGGAATAAAGCAGTCGGTACAAGGCGCAGTTGAGGAGAGCAGAGCAAGAGCCACGGTTTACAGAGCAGCATACGAGACGATGACGAGAGACGCGCAGTGAAGGTGAACGGAAGAATAAAACACGAGGGATTGTGAACAAGCAGAAGAAAAAAAAACGGTGCATGACTGGATTCACAGCAAGGCAGCTGAGTCCGGCTCATTATGAAAAGGATCCGTTGCAGACTGCAGGCAGGGTTGTGTGAATGGAAGAGACACTAGATCTGTAGATAGCGGAAACAGAAGTGCAGGGGATGGTTGGGCTGCATGGGCTCTGTTGTTGGCTTCACTGCTGCTGTCCTACACCGCTACACTCGAAACCCTTTCAACACCCTCAGATATGAGCTCCAAACACTCATCGGACTGGATCCCTTACAGGTACATCTGTTTATTGGTGAGCCTGCATGTGTTTGGTTGGAGATGATATATGTGATAGGGGATTGAGGATGATGAATGGTTAGGGCTGCAAAGGTGACAAAGGTGATTCTCTCGTCCTTGTACTCTTGGGTTTCTCATGCAGCACGCAGAGCTACAGAGTATGTGAGTGTCCAGTTGTGCAATTGCTGCTGAAGTTTTTGTTTATATCAGCTGGTCGAATACAATATCTATTACAGGACTATAACGATAAAGATGGGCCGTTGGTTACGGTCACTGCTGCATTATCACTATATTGTCACCTTATCTTATGACTGTTTATGTTGATCTTGTTATGCTTTTAGAACTTTTTGAAACAATTTTGAGACTAAAATGCTAATTAGGTGGCTAGCATAGATACAATTTTGTTGATATTGTGAGAATTTGAAGTATGAGTTAGAATGGGTAACGTTTTAGTCATGTTTTGTACTGTTGTGGTATATTTTCCAAAAAGGTGTGAATTTATAGTTTTTATAATAAATGTAGCTGCTGCATTTATTTGGTCAAAAATACATTAAAACAGTAATATTGTAACAATCTATATAACTCTTTTATATTATTTTAAAATGAAACTATCCATCACTTCAGTCAGTGTTACATGATTCTTCAGAAATCAGTCTAATATGCTGATTTGGTGCTCAAGAAATATTTATTTTTAATCAGTGTTGAAAACAGTTCTGCTGCTTAATATTTTGTGAAAACTGAAAATTCAAAAAAACAAAACAATCAATAAACAACCCAAATGTCAAACACAGTAATCAAACTCGGGGGGGGAAAACGCTCAGAAATGATATCCAGGAAAAGTCAAGACTTCGCGCGGGAAGTGGTTTATAATGAGATGCAGGTGTATGTAATCAGCACAGTGCAGGTGTATGGTGTTTAGTGTAATCAGTTCAGGGAGGTGCATGATGGGACATGTAGTGCAAGTTAACCCAGGAAGCGCGTGACTAATCGTGAAAACAGCATTTATTTAACAGCACTGTAAACTTATTTATTGTCACTTTTTATCCGTTTAATGCACGCTTGCTGAATATTATTAATATATTTAAAGAAAAATATTTTAAACGGTAGTGTTAATATGTATTATTTTAATTCCATATTTTCCCTAATATGGCTAATATCTCATCTTTAAAAATTCTTTGCATATATTTTGCTTTATATTTTTACTGACTTGTATTTCCATCTGGTTTGGTTGTCAGTGATTATCACTGTATATATTTTTTGGTTTATGTTTGCTGTTGAAGGCAGTCTTGCTTCTGCCTCATTGTCATGGCTGCACTGCCTCCTCTTGTCTCTCATTGGCTCTTGGTTGCTATAAGTTACAAGCCTACTTTCCTCCACTCTTTCTTTGAAAGCACTTGCCGCTTGTTGCAGGGAGCTAAAGGTACCGCTCAACCTACCCTGGAGGGTCTAAGGCTGTCTCTATGGGAGTGTGTTTTGTTTGTGAAGATCTGCCCTCTCCCACACCCCAGTTTCCTGTGTGTGAGGTCTGTGATTGTGACCTGAATGGATTTGAGAAATCTAACAAGCTTTGGCAGTGGGGGAGCTTGAGAAACGGTTTGAGAAATGCATCTCTCAAAACCATTCTTATTTTGAGAGATGCATACATGAGTCATATATTTTATCTGCACCCGAAAAAAAAGAACCTCAAATGATACAGTTGCTTTTAATTATTTGTCATAGACATTAGTGGGATTAAAAGGAGGGTGATTTAAACTTTTTGAAAATACTGTCATTTACTCATGTCTCTCCACACTTTCTTTCTTTTAAGGAACACGGAACAAGATGTTTGGACCCCATTGACAACATATACTTTTTGGTCTCATTTTAATTATAGAAACATAACTGACAACGCCATTAAAGTAGGGTAGTTTATTTATTATAGTGCTTTATTTTTTTGTTTCAAAGCAGCTTAATAAACAGAAAAATAACTGAATCAGTGATGCAAAATATGTGACACATTGAAATTCTACTGAAAAGCAGCTCTAAAATGACACTACTGTCATTTATTCAGGTCAATTCAGTTCAAGTTTTGCTCTCATCTCATAGTATCAGTGTAGTCAAATCAATAATATTATTGAATATTATTTTAAAAATTCTTTTAAACACAGACTAAGCAAGCCAAAGGCGAGAGTGGCAAGGAACCCAAGATCCATCAGGTGACAGAAATGGCGAAAAAAACCTTTTGGAGCTCAGTCGGTGGTCCAGTTCTCCTCTTGCCAAATGAGTGCTATTATAGATTAAATACTGCGTGTTTTCCATATTGTACATTAAAGTTGTGGTTAGCTGCAAAGTAACATTTGAATGAATCATATGTGACTTTCAGGCAATGATTTCCATCCAAAAAAGAAAGTAGGTCAATAGAGGAGCAGCAGTAGGGCGATTTGCTATTAAGTGGCTTGCTTACAGGCAGATTGGTAATGCAGCAAGATCTGGATCTTGGTCTTTTTGGTAGCAGTGAGCACAGACAGTAAATGTGTCCTTCTCTTATCTCTCCCTCAGTCAGCAGGGCCTTTGGGCCCTTCATGGTATTTTTTTCCGGGCGTGATGAACATCTCCTCCCCTGCAGATGGGGCTTGCGATGAAAAATGTATCGTGCTGGAAGAGCCGAGTTTGCCTCAGCTGGATCATCTGCTTCACGCAGACTAATTTCACAGCCTTTTCCAGTTTATTTGAGGGCCATTCTGCTCTGTTAGGTCACAGGCCCTACACATGGACAGGACACGCACACATACTGTACACACACAGAGCTCACTGGAGGTTAACAAGGACCTTGTTGTCCTCAAGCATGGAAAGATAAGTACCATTGCCTGTTTTCAATTTTGAGTTCTGTCATGCTAGCGTGCTTGTACATAAAGAACACATGCATTTTTAAAGAGTCCTCCTTACAGTGTCCACATAGTGCTACAGTCTAAGAACTTTGTCCAGATCAGAAAAATGTTCTCTAAACAACTGCAGCATTTTTTAAATTATATTAGATAGATGGATAGATTGTTTTTTTTAAAAAAGTTTTTTCCTCCATCAAATTGTCCTTGTATAATGTCCTTGTGGGCGCCGTCATCTTTAGAATATTGTCTTTGAACTTCCGGTTTCGCGGTCGCTCTGTATATTTCTATGGCATCGCTGTCAAGGAGTAATTAGCTGGTGAATTGGATTTACTTATTGTAGAGTTAACAAAAGTTATCATGAGCATTGTAATGTTCATAAGCATTGTAAAGCAGATGTCTTAACAAATGTCGACCGGGAAAATTTTTACGAGCAGTTCATTCATACCTATGCAAGATCGCTTTGAAAATACAGACCGGAAGTCAAAAGACAATGAGCGCAACGCTGAAAAGGGGCAGCACTGAAAAAAATAGCAGTCCGAGGCAATTGTCCAGAGCCTTAAATTGCTCAATGTAGAGTTTTACATTTTTTGTTGCTCTGTGATCCACTTAGTAAATTTAATAAAGAAAAGAGAGGATCAAAACAAGAGTCTCATTGCAGGTGTAAAGCTGGAAATGAACTGTGCAGTAGTGCTGTGTAAATGCATCCAGACTCCTTAAATGCATTCACCCGGTAGAAAACACATACATCAATAATTATTCAAACTTACAAGTTGTGATTCTGAGGAGCATGGTAGGGCCCATCTTTCACGAGCAAGTGTTTTGCGAATCCCAAGTTGTTCGCTGGCGGGCATTATGCAAATGTATCTTCAAACCCTGCTGTAGTGCATTTGTACTTTGTTTTGCTTGAGAATTAACAGGTAAAAGTAAAGAATTCAAATTAGCAAACATTACTTTCTGATTCCGATACACTCGTACAGTGAAACACCCACATGCATACACACACACACAAAGACACAAAGTGAATTGTCTCTGTCATCAGTGAAGCTTGATGGTGAGGGAGAGAAATTCTCCCGCACATTGTAGGCAGCTGTCAGCACATATCAATTTATCTCTCATCCCTTGTTGACCCTCATTAGAAGCGCTCTGTTTATGTCATTATCTGCCAATCTGATGGGAACTGACACCCTTGACTGCTGGCATTAGGCAGTATGCTTTGTGCATGTGTGCATGTATTTTAGCTTTAGGAGGGGAGTCATGAATTTGTGCATTTACACATTACTATTTCTGGATCCTGCGGTTTGTGTCAGTTTGTGAGTGCACTGAATAATAGGTGTCTGCATTTCTGAATGATTTTGTACCCATGTGCATGTGTGATAGAAATGGTGTCAGTGTTGGCAGTCTAAGAGTGAAATTTCTCAGGTTTAAATAGGGAAGTAGAGACTTTTAGTTGGGCGCTGGTTGATCCTTCTGAGCGAGAGAGGGAGAAAGAGATAATCCTTTTTAAAAGACAAGCTTAAAGCAACATGAATTTCCATGCTGGTTGGGATGCTACTGGTTTGAAAGTAGCCAACGTAGCCATACTGTTTTCCAAAATGTGTCTGTCTATCGATTGTTCGATCTATCTGCACTGTCAATCTCCTTCTGTCATTCTGCCATTCTATCTATCGTTCTGTTATTTTTTTCTATAGTTCTGACTTTTTTTGTATCTTTCTGTTAGTCTGCCTGTCTGTCGCTCATTCTGTTTAGTTTGTCATTCTAGCATTCTAGATCTATTGATCTAAATGCCATTCTATTGTCCTCTCAAAAACCAGTGGTGGAATGTAACGAAGTACAAATACTTCGTTACTTTACTTAAGTACATTTTTCACGTATCTTTACTTTACTTAAGTAGAATAAATAGTGCAGACTTTTTACTTTTACTTCGTTACATTTTGCAGCAATTATTATACTTTCTACTCCACTACATTTCTACAACTTCTGTTACATTTTCATTACATTTTCTGATCAGTTTTTCCACTGCCAAAACGTAATCTGACCGTCCGTTCGTTGCACGTTTGTCTCACCAGTGACGTTTGGTTGCCATAGATACATCAACTAAATGCGTCTCGCACGCAGTGTGTTTATCTTGCAATTTATACCCGAAAATTTGTTTTTACATGCATAGGAAACACACCGTGTTTAATATAAGTTTGGGATTATGGCAAGCCAAGAGGTTCAGAATTACACCATAAATTAATCGCGTTTACTGCCAAACATAGTTATTAACATATAGTAAGGATATGGCTTATATTGCCTAATTGCAAGCTTGTTTCAGAAATGGTGACATTTTTTTCCATCATTATTGAACATCATTATAGGAGTAGGCTATTAGGTTGAATGAGTTAGAATTAAATGTTTTATTAATCATTAGAAAATAGTCATTAAGAGAATCAATTATTATGCAAGTACTTTTACTTTTAATACTTAAAGTACATTTAAAATCAGGTACTTTTTACTTTTTACTTAAGTATGGTTGTCATTGTGTTACTTCTACTTTTACTAAAGTAAATATTTATCTGGTTATTTGTACTTTTACTTAAGTACTGAGATTCAGTACTTCCTCCACCACTGTCAAAAACACAATATAACATGTTTTTTGTACTATATGTAACCTACTATTATTATCTACTATTATTATATACCATTTATGTTACTTACTGTATGTTACTTGGGGTTATAATCACAACTGCCCCAATAAACAGTATATATTTATTTATATATATTAAATAAACCAGGCCTAGCTGTCAAAGACCTTAGAGTTTTCATATTCTTCAAATTTTGTGTTTGAACATATTTTATTATAGTGAAAGTAAAAATAAGAGCATCTAATTAGCATGTTTGTGTGTGTTTTCTAATGTCAACAAGAAAATGTGTAAAAATGCCTGTGGTGTTCTGAACCCAAACTGCTGTAAATCTTTTTATAATTGTTTTGTATTGTCTGATGACATCCAGAGGGAAGCCAAATCAAAACGGATAAAACAGACAGCAGAATTCTTGATTTCTAAACAGTATTTGTACATGTGCAGCTCTCTATTCTGATTATAAAATATGTTCCTACCACATGTTGAAAGCTACACCTTGGTTGTGCATTACAGATTACAGAACACAAATCCTTTTCCACACCACCGTTGATCTGTCACACTTCTTCTCTCCGCATGACCCACCACAGCCACAAAGGAAGCCCTCCATTGCCATTTAATTAACACAGCTTTTGGCTCAGCAATAACAGGGAGCAGAAATGCATTAGGGGATCTGGAGTGAATGTGTCATAGCTGGTTAAAGGGAACGAGAGGAGGGACAGGCAGAGCACAAAGGTCTCACCAGAGACCTCCCTCCTCACAGGACCTGAAAGAGCACAATGAGTCATAGCCATGATCAACACAGCAGCAGCAGTCTGTCCTTTGAAAAAAAAATATCTTCATACATACATTTACTGTTCTTCTTCCCATATTCTAGGTTTAATGGCCAGTAAATTGAGACCAAATCGCTGATTTATTTATAGGATTATATAGGAGTCGCTAGACATCAGCTCTTTTAATGATGCTGTATGAAATAAGATAAATTATACTGAATATTGATGCCATGTTTTGTGCAGCAGATTTTAGTGAAGGACATAAACAGTAGTGAATTGTATCAGTATATGTATTCTCTTGATAGTGGACTGGATTTTTGTGTACATAAAGCTTGTTTGAATCGCATCTCTGTGCTACTCTTGCTGTAGCATGTCTTTTTTTGTGAGCTTTCCCCATTGAATCTTGTTTTTGTCCTTCTGCAGTACCTTGGATGATGAGGGGACGACCCTGCGACAACAGAAGCTGGACAGACAGGTGAGTCTTCCTTTGGTTTATTTTTAGCACTGTGACAGAAGGCTCTGCTCTAAGGAAATGAGATCAATTGAAAAGAATAAGGAAAAGAAAAAACAGGCAGAAGTAGAACAATGAGAGAGAACCCATTCATTGAGTAATCACATTACAGAAACTAATGGTTTAAAGAAAATGCCTTCCCATATGCCATCCCTCACTTTGTATTAAATTATGTGCTGTTACTTCTGTAGACTTGAACCAGATAGCTTTGCAAACTTATGCCAAAATTGTTATACCTACAGTTAGCAAGAGTTAATTAGCCTTGTGGTTTGTATTCTGATAATCCTTTGTTATTATGCTGCATTCACAACATGCTATGAAAAATAGGATATTTTCCACTTGTGAACTGGTATTTACCAGTGTGTTGCGTTCAAGTGCTTTTGTTGTCGTAATGTGGTAAAAAGATGGAGATCCAGACCTGTTATTTAGCTAAAACTATTTTAGATTACTCAAGTCATCTGCAACAGCAAGAAAATGATTTATCAAAACTCAAAAGGTAAATAATATGCTGTATATTTTTCTAGATCATGAATAGTATATATTTTTTACCATTCACGACTCTCGCGATGCTCTCCACCATTTTGAAATGGTCAAAGGTTATCTCATCTCGGCAACTCGTCCATCAAAATATTCTACGAGTTTCCCAGTGGTAAATACCACATGAGGGGGTGTTCATGTGCATTTTCCACGGCGGCTTTTGGTATTTACCATAATTACCATAGCACATGAAAGCACCATTAAACACAATGGATTTTAAGGAGAACAGGTGGGTTCCCTGGAAAGGGAACCATTTTTGCTAGCTAGGTATCCATATCCAATATAACTGCTAGCCTACTTGCCATTTAGACTAACGGTAAACTAGCTTGGAGTCCCTTTTATGACGTCACACCCAGCCTATTGGAAGGGAGGGGGCATGCTTAAAACCACTGTAAAACACTGTAAAAACATTTCATATTATATGCAGAATTTTGGTATAAAAACATAAAAAACAATTGTTGGCGGTTCTTATCTTTATGTGTTATGAACTGCTCCGAGACTGGGAGATGTAGATCCAAATGCAGCTTTAATATAAGAATAGTCGTACAGGCAGGGTCGAGAATCAGCAGACAGGACAATGGAGAATACACAATGGGAATCCAAGAAGCAGGCAGAGGTCAGGGCAGGCAGCAATAATCAAAATCCAAGAACAATCCAAAAGTAAAAAAAAACAGAACACAAACACAGAAAATGCTCAGAAATGCAGACAAACAGTACAACAAGACTTCGCGGTGAGTGACTGAATGAACAAGGTATATATATAGCCAGACTAACAAGATGAGACAGGTGAATGCAATAGTGAATGAGGTACAGGTGAATGTGATCAGTGATGATGAGTCCGGGAAGTGAGTTCTGGGAACTGTAGTTTGTGTGAAACATAGTCTTATCTGGAGTGCCCTCTGGTGGCTCAATAGGGCACTCCAGCTGGTAACCGTTACATTATGTTTAGTAAATACATTGGATTTCGTGAAAAATTTAATTTGCAATTTACACTTTATACTCTCATAAATCGTTGTCTGTCTTCCAGCAACCACCCGTAACAGTGACAAAGCGTGGAATGCTTGCAACTGCTGTAGCAGTATTGAAAATGAAATCAGGGTTATTCACACAGATTTAGTGGGTTTACTCTAAAATCCAGAAAGATGTAGAAAGATTCAGTGAAGCATTCCCAGAGTATCAGAACTACAGAGCTGAGACAGATTTAGGGTGTTAGAGGAGACCATCCGCCTCAACCTTAATGGATTTTTTTCCAGAGAAAACCAACAGTTCAGAATTCTTTGTCTGTCTAAGTCCTTGCTCTCTTCAGCTGTCCAAAATATCTATAGCTGGACTGTTGATGGGAGACAGTATTTTAATGAGCCACGAATATTAGAAAAGCAAGCCTTCATGTTCCGTACAATGAGGGAGTTTGGAGGTTATATTCTCGAGGGTGCTTTGCATCGGGTTGTCTGCTATTGTGCTGTAAACACCAGTGGTTCTTGCAGCTGGATAGGAAGACAAGGATAATTTGCTCCAAATTTCGACTCAAGCCAATAGGTTTAGCCCACAGCACTCGGCTGGTCTTTAATGAACCTCCTACTCTCATCACAAGACCATGAGACCAAATTACCATGTTTATTGCCTGTCTGCTTTACATAATAATAACCTTGAAGGAGCCTGAAATTGTTGAACATCACCTTAGCCAGCCTCTTTATGCTCTCTATAGCTTCAGGAGTCTTTGACCATTGCGTTTCAATGAATTTTAAGGTGCTGTGTGAGCACATATTACGAGTGATCTGTTTCAATGATACTGAAAATGCTTATTGGGCACCACATTAGTTCTGAGAACAGAGGAGAGCACAGACGGTGAACGTGTTTAGGCAATGTTTATGCAGATAAACAACTTTTTTATTAGAACAGCAATATGGAGATTTGTGCGCTGTGCAAAGGCATGATTCCTCAAGCAGCAAGGTACCGCCAATAGAACAAGCTTTGAATAGAAACCCCCTTAGAGAGACGCGATCTTGGAGGAGCACGAAGCATTATTAAAAACGCATGAATTCATTGTGTCTCTATGTGAAGATGACACATTTTAAAGCTTAACACAAGCACTGGGTGTGTCAAATCAAATGATTCCAAATCTCTGGTTTTAATGCTATATCTATGATATAATGAAAAGTAGGGTATTGACATATACTACAGTAGGGCTCGGCATTGTTTCTGATTCACAAGCTCTTGATTTAATTATTCAATATCAATTTGTTTGGATATATATCAGGTACAGTGCATGTCAAGTGCATGTAAATTTGTTTTGGGAAAACAATGTGCATTACTGTAATATTAACGGGGTGGTGCCTTTTCTCAAGATGTAAAATAAGTCTCTGATGTCCCCAGAGCATGTATGTGAAGTGTTATCTCAAAATACCCCATATATATATATATATATATATTTAATATAGCTTGTTAAAATTGTCACTTCTTGAGGTTGCGCAAAAATGCACTGTTTTTGTGTCTGTCCCTTTAAATGCAAATAAGCTGCTCTTCCCAGCACAGGGGAGCTTCAAGAGCTTGTGTCCAGACACGTATGAAAATTTAAAAACCTTTTAGCCATTTTTGTTCAAACCGAAATAAGACAAAGATGAAGGGACTCAAGAAGAAGTGACAACATGTAGAAAACATTTCTGAATGGTTAGTTGATGATTTTATGTAGCTTATGTATAGAACATATTCTGTGATGATAATATACAAATCGTGTTCCCGGGGGCGGGTTTATGTAAATGTTTGGTAATTTGAAAATAGGCCTACTGGTTTTCTACTGATACAAAGTTTAATTCTAAACCCTGAAGTATCCCTATGACATAATTATGTTTCTACATTCCAGAATGTACAACATTTCAATGGTGTCAACTTATTTTTCATGACAGATTTATTCAAACATAGGTACAATAAAGAAGACACCTGTCACATTACTAGAAAGGAAGCGCACGACAGGAATAATCCAAGTAAACAGTATTTCATCTAAAAATATACAGGAACACCCAGGAAAACAGACTTCACAACCACTTTAACACTGACATCACAGAACAAAGAACTGAATAATCACAGGACTTAAATACACAGAGGTACTAATGAGTAAATTAATTGGACAACAGGTGAACTGAGTCATTAATCAAGGGAATGCACTGGAACACACTAGGAAACTGGGTCAAAGAGGCATGCGGGCACAGGGACCAAGCGGGCACCAAAACGGAATCAAAGCAAAGCATACATGTAACGTTACAGCATCATTACCAGTAAAATTATAATGATTATATAATATAGTGCATATATTTATCAAAATGCACCTCTAGAGCTATTCTTGTTGAATAACTGGTTTTAGACATTGAATGGCTTTCCTGAAGTAAATGCAAAATTATGTGAGATTGTTCCCAAGCTACTTTATTGACATCTTTCCACAGTTGAAACACTGATTGAGCGATTACATGAAACATGATACTTTGTACATTGTTAGTTTTGCTGTTTCTTCAAAATACCTTCTCATGCTCATGTTTATTTCGTGAAATAACTAGTAAATAGCTAGAGATGATCATTCACTGGCGGTCCACACTCCTGCTTGAATTGAGGCGCGACAGACACCACATTAAAGAGTGCCAAAACCACATTCATTGTTTACATTTTGTGCTAAAATGGAAAGAATGAGAAACCTGAACAAAACAACAAAGCATAAAGCTTATTGTGAATATTGGACAGTAGGCACGCTAGAATTAGTGTTTAGTGAAGTATAATGCCTTTTTTCCACACATTAACAGAAAACAGCACAGACTAAAAAATCAATTTTGGAATTTAAGAATCAATATTGGTTCATCAAAATGAAGATTTATTCAATGGATCTAATAAAATGTAAAAGGCTTTTTTTATTTATGGATTTTTAAAGCAGCTAATTGCATTTTTCTGCTTGCATAATCTGTGATAATAGGTTCTTTTCTCATTTGCACACCACCCACCAGCACAGGGGAAGGGTGTCTTTTCTGTCTGACTGGACAGACCTGGTCTCAAGCCCACTATTCGCTCATGGATTCCTTTAATGTTTAATAGACTCCAGCGCTGGGATCTCCCCAGAACTCTTTACTATAGCTTTACATAATGTCAGGCTGCGGAAGTGAAGAATGTTGTGTGGTGAAACCCAAACTGAGTTGAACATGCAGTCATGTGTGAAGAGAAGGCGTGTTGTAGTGGCTGGTTTTAGCTCTAACTTTAGAGACTAAAGTTATTATTTGTGTGGCTCTGTTCCATTGTTGTCAAAACTCAAAAGTTTCCAGATTTAAAGATGTGTTGTGTTGCACTTCTTTTCTTTTAAATTAAGTAAACAATTTTTATGAACAGAGAATGAATGTGACGGATCAACTTATATAGCAAACACAAACAAGGATAATTCATAGAACACAGCTGAAACCACTTAACTAATAATGACGGTAACTATGGAGACAGACGAGTGGCGGGAGTCAGAACAAAACACGTGACAAATAAAAACAAACTGAAAGTCCATGAACAAAACTAAACAGAATGGTGACGTCAGTGCTGTGAGTCATGGAGCTTCAGTTGAGCGACTGAGAAAGCTCACCTCTTTAGTTGCCTTGGCCCTTTTTTAGATATATAATTATAATTAAATGTATATATTGTTTTCATTTTAGCTTAAGTTTTAATAATGTTGTTTTTCTCGTTACTTTTTCTGTTCAGGTTTACTATAATTGTATTTTTCTTCATAAGATTTGTATATTATTATGTGTATTCAGATTGATGCTATAATAATAATAATAATGCTTTATTATATTATCCAAAATAAATAAATAATAAAATATATAAGATAAATAAAATAATAAAGCATTTATTTTTAAATGTGATTGTTGGTACATTTTACTAGTATTTATCAATTTAAATATGAAAAATATCCCATATGAAAATTAGTTTCGAATAAATTTTCTTTATAAAAGACAAGATTTGGTCTTCAAAAAGGTACGTCTTGAAAAAAAGGGTGGAGGGGGGGTATATTATCATCAGGGTCGTCTTATATTCGTAACAATACGATAATTACACAAACGGTCAATACTACGATTATTATTACAATTTTTAACATCAATTTTTTAGGTTTTCAGAAAACGCAGCAGATGCATCATCATTTCACATCCGTTGACAGTAGTTGCCTTTTGTGATCTGCATTATTTATGTAGAAAGAACAGAAAAATGCATCCCTGAAGTTAAAACATGCAGTGGATCCGGTCCTCATCTCCAGCTCTATTTTAGAAAATGGAAATAAGCTGAATAAAATTGGCAGAAGTACAGAAGCAGTGCTATGTACTATGAAACCCCTTTAATAATACAAATACCTGCTGTAATACTGCAGTAATTTTAAGCAACTTTTTGTTTTTTTAGGCTGAAAAATTTGAATTAATCCGCAACTACAAGTGTCAGTTCTCTCCAAAATATACTGTATATATTTTGTGCCAGTTATTTGTGCTCACATTTCATTTCTATATGTCTTCATATTTTTATGCCCCAGTACCTCCAATCGCTCCCAGAGCACCACAGCAAAAGTGGCTGCCCTCTGCTCCTGGTGTGTGTGTGTGTCCACGGTTTGCTGTGTGTGTGTTCACTACTCCTAGTGTGTGCACTAACCTGGATGGGTTAAATGCAGGGGTCAAATTCAGAGTATGGGTTACCAATACTCTGCCTTCACATGTCACTTTCGCTATTAGGGGGCAGCCCTAGACGTTACATGTAGTCATTGATCTGTTTTTTCTTCAGACTGCATCTTTTTCAGAGAAGTGATACATTTGTGATTCCACTGCAGTTTTTGAAAATCATCATGTTCTCTATGATTATATATTGCATCGAGTATCATATAGCACAAGTACTGTAAATAAAATCTCAAAACTGTTTTGACCTATTATCTTTTAATGTGTGTTTGTAGCGAGCTTTACTGGAACAGAAGCAGAAAAAGAAACGTCAGGAGCCCCTGATGGTGCAGTCTAATCTGGACGGACGGTCGCGGGTGCGCAGGACCCGGCAGTCGGAGGAACAGGCTCCCCTCGTGGAGAGCTACCTCAGCGGCAACAGCAGCACCATCTACCACGGTACACATAGCCACAGCTAAAACAACACTTTCATAAAATATCACATAACCATAGTGTCACAGAGACTCAAGATTCAGGTTCTGTCTCGAGGGCATGAGATGTTATTCCAAGCTGTCTTTACACTGACATATTAATATCGACCCAAGCTGCTCAAACAGAGTGGTCCACAAAGGCCGGTGATTGAAAATGGAAATGCTTGTTTGCTGATTGTTCGCCAAACAATGGTGCCATTCTTCGCACTGCCAGCGGTACTGGCTTGAGTTACTCTATTGATCTCTGTCCCAGACTGCTCAGTGTTAGAAAAAACCCTTCCTACATGGTCAATGCAGACCTCAATCATCTATATTAAAACATCTGTTTGGCATTATGGGTAAGCTCTACACAATGAAATAGCCTATTCCACAGAAAATGGCAGAGTAACACAAGTAATAAAGAACTGTGATGTGTGTTATAGATCTACATTATAGAGTTTAACAACATCTTATATATTTTGTTTGTTTAAAGCGACAGTGTTTTTTAGAATTATTTCTATATTTCACAATATTTTGAGATAAAATTGGTTGGTAACACTTTAGTTTAGGGTCCAATCCTCACTATTAACTAGTTGTTAGCATGAATATTACTAGGATATTGACTTTTTATTAGTACTTATAAATAAGAAGTAATTATGAATTTATTAAGGCAATAGTTGTAGTTAACAGTTAACAGAAGTACACTGTAAACTATAAATTTGTCTTATTAATAAGCTGTAATTATGAATTTATTAAGGCAAATGTTGTGTAAACCCTAACCCTCAAAATAATTAATTTGAGTAGAGCCAACTCAAATGATACAAATTAGTTCCATCAAATTAACTTTTATGAGTATTTAGAACTTTCTTTTTCTATGAGTTCACAAAACTGACACATTTTAAATAAGTTGAACTGCTTAATTGTTTTGAGTTTTATAAACTTTTTCTTTTAATTTAGATAAACTTAACTGAAACTGGGCTAGGATTTCTATATCCCAGCATGCTTTGCCATGAAACTCAAAAGGGAGAGTAAATGCTGAAATTAAGTGTTAAATAATGCTTTTTGTGTCAGATTATGTTGAGAACTGTGCTATGCTATCAAAGCATTGTGTTACCATGTGTGGACTCGTAAGTCAGTCCTAGAGCTCCTTCTGTCCGATTTTAGTGGAAAATCGGGTCCATATGAGACGTCCAATAGATTTCTTAGTTATTCCTGTTAATAGTGAGAATTGGACCATAAACTAAAGTGTGACCAATTTCTTTTTATATTTTCAGATATTTATTTGGTTTAAAGGGGTGGTTGATTGCGATTTCACTTTTTTCATTTTAAATAGTGTGTAATGTTGCTGTTGGTGCATGAACAGTATCTGCAAAGTTGCAGCGCTGAAAGTTCAGTGTAAGCAGAGATATCGTCTTTTAAAAATCAGGAAGAATATTGCCTACAAAAACGACTCCATTGGGACTTCAGCTGGGTTTTAGACGTCACTAACCCACACATTTGCATCAACCCCTCCCTCCGGAATATGCAGAAAAGGGCATGCGCATATTTCTGCGGCACGTCGAGTGTGTTATGTTCACCCAACTGTCAGGTCTTCTGTGTTTTGGCTTCCCACGGATGCTGACAGTTCGTCAAGAATGGAAACAATTTATGTTTGATTATGTTCCTGAAAATGACGATCGTAATTTAGCTCTCTGTGCTGCGCATTTACGGAAGACAGCTTCCAGAATCTCCACGAGTTCAACACCAGATTCAACAAGAAACTGTTACTAAAACATGAAGCAGTTCCAACTTTAAAACCAGAGGCAGCAGTTGTTGGGCCACAACCTGTAAGTAGGCTAAGACTTCATCATTTTAAATTTATTTGCACTTATAATTTCAGACGTAGCCTTGTTTTTTATTTTTTTCAAATGCCAGCGCTGGCTTCATAGCCACTAGGCTACTAGTTATGCTATTTTGTGTCTACGAAAAACGCGTACAAACATTATGGACCTGAATTTTGTATAAGTACTAATGTTGTAAATGTATTTTTCATGTACATGCTTTATGACGTAATTTTTGATTTGATCAAGAACGTAAACTTGCCAACGCTGTTTGTGTTTAACATTAGTAGCCAGTCAGTTGCTATTGTTGCCAGTCAGATGCTATTGTGTAAAACAAAACAAAAAAAATGTAGCAAATTATCATTCAGAAACGTTTAGTAAGAGCCATGTGTGGTGAGGTTCTGTTTGACTCTCTTCATCGCGGCTTTTTCTCGGTCTGATTATGCCTCAAACTGATACTGCAGTTCGACACATATTTACATCTGGACCGGAGCTCATGACATGCACGTTTCGCCCGTAAAGGTAATGGGCGTTAATCTTCCGGATAACGTGAGCGACAGTTTAGCCAATCACAACACACCGGGCCAAACTAACCAATCTGAGCCCACTGCCTGTTTCTGAGGGAGTGGTTTCATAGACTCAGTAAGTCGACCTGTCGTTTAGGGGACAGAGGAGAGCGCGGCTGACAATAAAGGTGAAGTTTATGAAAAATAAGACTTACATGTTCTTACAAGAAAAACCACGAATACATGTTCGAAACGAAAAAAAAAAAAAGCAGTCAACCCCCCCCCCCCCCCCCTTAAATCATTCGATTATGTACTTTTACTATTTTATTAGTATTTCTATTTAAATTTATTTTTAAAACTATATTTTTTATTTTTAGTACTTTAACTTAAAAATGTTTTGTTTCAGTTAGTTGCCAAGGCAACATTTCTATTCTAATTTTCATGTACGTTTTTAAGTTTTTGTTTTTCATCTAATGTTTGATTTTATTCAATTACTGCAAACTTTTAATAGTTTTAATTATAGTTCACAGGAACATCATTTCCGTGCACTCTGTAAGCAGTCTTTAAATGCTTGTTTTGATATGCCAATGCCTCTGGTGAAGTTCTGACCTTGTCAGAAGTTTGTGGTCATATTCCTGCATGTGACTCTGCTCCTATGACATTTGTCTAATGAAGAACCAAAAGTAGTTTTTCCTTTTTTTACAAGTTGAGGGACTAGATTGTTTTCAGTTGACATGATGCCACAGAGACTGTCGATAGAGTTGATCTTGTACTATGAGTCCAAGACATTCTAAATCAGTTGATACTGATCACCTGTACTCTGGGACTATAATAATCCTCACAGGCTTGTGTTGTGTTATGAAAGAGAGGAATGTCTGTTGATAGCGGTTTACAGTATTATGAATAATTTACTGTGTTTCCCTCAGTGTTGAGCTGTCTCATCAAAGAGAGATCACCTTTGGCTCTCATCCAGCTTGGGCTTCAGTGAATTGTAAAACTGTAATCGATTATGCTGTGCATATTATTTCCTTCTTTGTACATTTGTGTTTGTCATCTTTATTTGGATGTTTTCAATTTATTATGTCATCTTTACACTGTAAATGCAACATCTGAAGTGGCATATAGACCTCAAACAAGGTGCATTTGTACATACAATTTAGCTGCACAAAGGGGCATCCATGCAGAAGTAATGTTATTGCATAAAATGATGACTAAAAATATAACATTTTTAGGCAAATTGATTCAAATGTTTTAATAACAGGCCATTGTGTAATTATTAAGCTTTATTCTTTTTGTGGATGACACTCATTTCATGGAAAATGCAAACAATTTATAATGCAATGATAAAATATTATTTTGGTTTTAATTAATCAACTTTCTAATACTTTATATAATCTTACATGTGTTGAAATCCTGCCCTCAACCAGTGTTTGCTTTAATATTTCTTTGTATGATTTTATTTCACCTGTTAAGCTTTGATAATGATTAAATTACATGTATATTTTGAAATGACAGCAAAAACATTTGAGGGTTTGGTTGTCACAGAAGCAAAGCAGCATCAGAGCCATTTAAGGATTAGGATGGGTCAAAGCTGCATGTTTTTACAGCATTGCGTCTTTACAGAATTGAATGCAGACAAATAAAACCTTAGAAGTGAAGAGTTTTACTCACCTGTGAATTGATGCCTTCTGTCTCTCAAACTCAAAGCATGAGTAAGAAAAAATAACTTCATTCTTTCCTTCTGAGTCACTTCCTCTTTTAAAAATAGCAACATCTTTGTTGTTTCTTTCCATAACTAAATCATTGATCACTTTATCTCACTATGTCTGACAGGCTCGTCTTTTTAAGGATTTCAGTGTTAGTGATGTATTCCATCAATCCACAAGCTTCCAACTGACATATGCTCGTTCGAGAGTATTATCAGGAGGCACAGACTCGGAGGAACCCTTCTGATCTGTTGCTTAAGGACAGTTTCAATGCTTTGATTTCACAGTTGGCTCTGACTGCACACTTCATATGCAACTAACGGTCTTTTGGACTTACAGAGGCCTCTGCGTGCGCGTGTTTGTTAAGTCCATGAGACCATAAGGTGTCCCATTTTCATTTTAACTGTGAGAAGGGTGCCTGCGAGCGCCCCCCTTTGTGGTCGTATGCACCTTCGATGCGCCCTTTTGCACTTCTTCCCGACAGTCAAAGTGCCGTTATGTCATTAAAGTTGCAGACTCGTAGGAAAACTGCAAGTGTTTAGTGTGCCATTTGGGAAATTAACATGGAGCTATATCAGTCTCGGTAACATTTCACGCAAAAAACATGATGCACACATGCATTTCACACATGCATTTCATGCGAATTTCACATGCATGAAACCTAATTCATGTGCACTATATATATATATAAAAAAAGCAATTCAGCTGTGCAAAATAAAATGATATATTTAGAAAGTACATTTCACAAATGCAAAACACAATTCATAGATATACTGTACAACTGTAAAAAGTTTTGAATGTTTAAAATTTACGAGTTTATCCTTGAATCTGAATATGCAAATCATCATTTTGAGACTTTCCTGGCAGCGCTCTGCTCCCACCTGGGTCAGTCATACTCTTTAGCCAATCGGATTTAGTCTTATCAATCAACCAATTATAATCACATGAGGGCGTGCCTGCTTGGATGTTACATCATCAGCTTCCAACCACAGTTCAAGTCATGGCTAAGCAGAGTTTTGTGGAGTCGATCGGTTGCAGAACACACAATAAAGCAGAAGAATAGGTTCAGAATATATTTAATAAACCACAAGAGACAACTACAGGCAGGCAAACAAACACAACTCGGGCATCAACGAGAAAAAAAGGTCCCGAATGTGAATTAGGTTTCATGCGTGTGAAACTGGCTACGCATAGGCTTCATGTTTTTTTGCGTGAAATAATAATGAGACTGATCTATCTCCATATACGAGAGCAGTGGGATGTATAGCGTTTTTTTGTGCTCGCAGCCATCTCCTGTGTGTACGCTGAATACGTAAGCTTAGTTTTTGCTTTGTGTCTTTGCTAACTCTCTTTCCTCTCATTCATTTTAACCCTTTTCTTTATTTCTCTCACACTATCTTATCTGCTCCTACTGGCTCCTCCTGCACCTCCTCGTTTAGTACAAGAAGCGGAACAGGAAGAAGTTAAAGCCATAGCAGAGGTTCAGGCCCCTCGCTCGGCTAAAAAAAACAAGCCGCCTACCTCCACTCCTCAGACTGGCAGCGCCAAGAAGGAGAAAAAGGGCAAGCACAAAGGTCAGCTGAGCAGCCGACTAACCGTCAGGCCCAGCATGTGCACGCAAATCTGGGTGTGTGTGCGTGTGTACGCTTGTGTGAAGGACATTTGTGTCATCCAGTGATTCAATTTGTGTCACAATCAGCATTACCTGCACTGTACAGAAATAAAAAAAATTGAGGATGATTTGCTCCTTATGTACACTACCATTCGAAAGTTTCAAATTAATGCTGTTCTTTTGAATCTTTTATATCTTTAGTTCCACAGAAGAAAGAAAGCCAAGTAATGATGGAACAGTGTTAATTTGCTTCCTAATTGGAAAAAAATTAAACATTTAAAAAGCACATCATCAGTCAAACAGCAGATACTGTAATTTGCAATCTCTCATATGGTGTGTTTGCTTAAACTATGCCTCAGCTATACAATCTTCTCATGTCTTTATGTTCTCCATACTTGTATTTTCCCTCATCTCCTTGTGTGGGTGTTGAGTTTTTTTTTTTTTTTTTTACTGCTTTCTCAAATGACAATGACAGCATACCACACAACGTTAATGAACGTACCCTTGGAGATATACCAAACCCCTGCTCTACTGCCAATCCTCCCTCAATGAATAACAAAATCCCCCTCTAATACTGTTTGTACAGTAGGAGCAGCTGCTGTCCGCCTGCCATGACCTGAAGCCTTCATCAATACAAGAAACAAACATTCATGAAACAGACAAATGCTGTCTCTCTATAATGCCCTGGATATTAGACGCATGGGCTCGATCCATCAAGCGGCAGCACCATTATGACTCACACAAGGCATTTGGATTTCTTTCTGGGGGCGAATGTATTTTTTGCTTTTTATTCACTGAAGGTGTGACTTTTATTTGAGCAGCTGGCATGGCTATAAAAAAGCCTACAATTAAATAAATGAGTAAAGTCGAGTTTAATAGTGTGCTGCAGGAATAATAATTTTTGTTGGTCAACCCAGAGGTTCTTCTCTTGACAAAAAAAAAAAAAAGTAGGATAGGATTATCCTATCCGACAATGGACGTATCCAATGGACATATCCTATCCAATAGGATTTGTCCATTGGCTTTTGGATTATTTCAGAAAATGAAGTGACAAACAAAACACATTTTGTCCATCAAGATAATCCACACTAATTAGCATAATGAATTTTGACACCAAATACAATCTTCAAAAGCTAACGTTAGGCTATAAACAAAAGTTAGGCTTTTGCTTCTTGTCTGAACACAGCCATTTCACCCTTTTCTCTTTTATTACAATTCTGCTAGTTGTCTTCTGAGACTGTGACAGCTAAACCATCACTCATGTAACAAACCTCGACACAGATCATGGTGGTTTGTAGGTGACATAACCAACACAAACAGATCTGTGATTCACAAATGATGATATCAAACCAAACATGATATTTTAGACCCCAAGCTTTGAAAGAATAAGCTGATACACATGTCTTGTTCATGCTTGTTCATCTCTCTGGCTGTTTCTTTGATGATTACTCACTTGTTAAGGAGTCTCATCCCAGGTCACTTTAACCTCAATGACAATCATAGTCCAAATGCAATAGTTATTATTGTGCAACCACGAGCACTAATGGCTCTCTGCCATCTAGTCAGAGCTAATTCCCTGATATTGTTCAGCAGACAAATCCCTGTGGGGGGGGGTGAAGGGTCTCTGTTGCTAATGACTTGATTTGGCCTGGTTGGATGCATGGATGGATGGATAGATGAATGGGAGCTGTGAACAGTTTGCATGTTGCTGTGTTTGACATAGGACAATATGTTCTTCCCAATAATAGTTACTAATTGGATGAAATACAAAACCCAGACTGACATAAGAGCATCTATAAATAGATGATAGCAAATTTTTCATACCCCAAGGGCACTTCAAGCGTCAGTCAATGTTCACTGAGAAGGTTTCATATTGCATACACTATTGCTCAAAAGTTTGAAATAATGAAGATATGTTTAATGTTTTTGAAAGAAGTCTCTTATGCTCACGAAGGCTGCATTTATTTGATAAAAAATAAATATTTGAATTTTCAGCAGTTATTACTCATCAGTGTCACATGATCCATTTTCATTTTTGTGATTTTAACATGTAAACAAAATGTTCTGGTGCACCCAGACAAGAAAATAAAGGAATTATACATAACTATTAAAATCAAAAGTTGTATTTGTTAATATTAGTTAATGCACTGTGAACTAACATGAACAAACAATGAACGACTGTATTTTATTAACTAGCATTAACTAATATTATTAGTTATTTTTATTATTTAATTATTTTTAAATAATCAATTATTATTGTATTATTTATGAATTCATTAATTAGCTAATTTTCTATTCTTGTGAGATTCTACTGCATTTTTGACCAAATAATTGCAGCCTTGGCGAGCATAAGAGACTTCTTTTAAAAGTAAATAAAAAAAAAGATTTTAAATTAGATATGACTTTTGACTTGTAGTGCATGCCTCACAAAGTAATTCTATTTGCAGAGGGATTCATTTATTAAAATTTGAATGTCTGTCTCCACATTTCCATAAACACCATTATTTTGTGACAGCAAACTGGAAACGGGATGGTTGATATAGTCGAGTTAACGGTGTTACTGTGTTGTGGTGGTCCCAAAGGAATTGATGGGCCCGCTGGCTTCCAGGATGAGGGTCAGGAGCTGGGCAACCAGATTCAGATCCTGACAGTGGGCCACTCACCTGCCCAGGAGAGCGAGGCAGAGGGCCAGGGTGAGGCAGTGGGCAGCACACAGTCACAGGGCAAACAGGACCTAAGGGTCACCATGCTGAAGAAAGGTACACCAGCGATAGTCCTCGGAGTAACACAAACGAGAGTGGAGAGCGAGACAGATGGAGAGGCTACTGTGATCATGATGACTAAGCCATGCTCATTCACTGATTGTTCTTCGGTATTACTGATCTCCTAACATGCAAAAAAACATGTTCTTGTAATATCATCATATGGCGACTAACACTTTAAGATCTACTTACATGCTATAGCATTTATAATCAGTGTCTGCCTCTCTCTCCTCCTTATGTGACATTTTTAGATTAGATCATGTCTTTACTGTCTGCATGACTTTTTAGAGCTGGTTTGAGCTGAACTGGACTGTGGACAATCATTTGCATCTCTTTTTCTGCTAATTTGTTGAACAGGCAAAAAGTGAATCGTTTTTGTTTTGTTGTTGTAGTTGTTTTTGTACTCCGTTTGTTGCGTCTAGTGAATTTCATGCCATGTGCTTTTTTGGCATCAGAGTGCAGTTATTTACAGTGTTGTTTGCAGTGCACAATGCCTCCATGTTTGCTTTATGCCTGCTGCTGTTCTCTCCTCGTGTTCTGTTATCGCATTATTTGATTTGCACCTCAAAACAATTTTCTTGTTTGAAGGAATCTCCAGTAGCATGAACTTCGATGAAGAGGAGGATGAAGATGATTTGGTCAGCTCAAGCTCATCTCAGCTCAACAGCAACACAAGACCTGGCTCTGCCACCAGCAAAAAGTCCAGCAAGGTAGCATTTCTTTGCTTATTTAGAAGGGTTTATTAATGACTATAATAAATTAAGTTAATTTTTCAGTAGGGCTGTCAAACGATTAATCGCGATAAATCGCATCCAAAATAAAAGTTGTGTTTACAAAATATATGTGGGTGCACTGTGTATAATTATTTTATATATATAAATACACACACATGCTTAAGAAATATTTTCATGTATATACTGAGTATATTAGAGTTATATATACTTTATGTTATATGTAAATATAAATATTTTATATATAAATAATATTTTTTTTCTTAAATATACAGTACTTGCATGTTTGTGTATTTATATATATAAAATAATTATACATAGTGCACCCACATATATTATGTAAACACAAACTTTTATTTTGGATGCGATTAATCGCGATTAATCGCTTGACAGCCCTATTTTTCAGTTTTACACAATGTGAACTATAGATGCAGACACCAAGGAGGCATGGAGGAAAACAAATCATGGTTACCATAGTTACCAATTAATTGCTCTGAGTTGAATAAAGAGAAATATTTATGTCCACTGAAGGCAAATTTGAAGAACCCCAGGGCTGGCGGATTTACCCATATAGGCATTCTAGGCACGTGACGTGCCTATGCTCGTTTGCACGGCTATGCACGTTTTTTAAATTATTATTATGTTTTCATTCTAATTCTAAAACTCTGTAAGACACTTACTTTGGGGGGGAAAAAACATTTTAAGCAGAAACATCATATCTCCACATTTACACATGAGACTTGGGCAAAACCACTAGAAGGCAAGCCTGCAACCTTCAGCCAAAAAAGCTTAATGGCTAATTAACACTGCAGCTGTGGAACGCAGAGAAGGAGACAAGAGACTGTGTTCGAAATCACCCACTACTCACTATATAGTGGACAATATAGTGAGCTCGCCATTTTGTAGTGCTGCTGTCCGAATGTATAGTGATGATTATTATAACCTACATAGTCCACTCAATGTATCCCAGAATGCATTTTGAAAAGTAGTGTACAACCGATGGTCACTAACCCAAGCCCTACATACCATTATGCATTGCGCTGATTGCAAAAATAAGTTATAATCATGTGTGGAGTAGCGCATTATAACAGAAACGGACAGAAATAACTTTTAGTTTTTAAATTTTGGAGAAATAAGCTCAATATAATGTAATGTATTTATTTAAAAAAATCAATTTAGCCCAGAGCCGGCTCGGCACCAGCTGACAGATGATGTAATCAACGCCGTCGAGAGATGATCGAATAGTGTCCGAAAGTGGTGTTTCTATTATGCTGGTGAGCTCACTATATAGTGCTCTACTAGAAATATACACAGCTACTGAAAAAAACAGAAGGTCAAAGACAATTCTAAAAAATGGCTGCGCGTTTGTTTCTCTGGCACATAAGGTCTATAACCAAGTAATGATAGGCCATGCTCAATAATGCAACACTCAATTTTTTTAACAAGGTAAAGATGCTTGTTCATTCCTGTCTTTTCTGAGATATTTAAATTGAAGATTGGCTGTTATTTTAAGCAGGCTCTGTGCGTCAGCTCCAAATGTGAACTCCTCAGTTGTGTTACATGTGAAGTGCTGACACAAGCAGGCTGTGTTTTGTCATGCTAGGATGTATTCTCTTGTGTCTATCTTGGCACAAATCCTGCAATGCTGAAAATGGAGGGGTCATAGTCCTGTTGTTTCCTATGGCAACAGTGAAATGATTACTTTCTTAAAATAACTTGATGGAAACCGTGCCTGTTTGAAGCCCCTTTTCTTGCCAAATGCCAATGTCTCATTGGTGATTTCTCTGTAGTCTGTACGGTGTTTTATAGAAATGTGCAATAATTATTGCTATAGTTGTATATCGTTTATTAATTAAACACCCCCGGTTCCACAGATGAGGCTTCAGCTAATCCCAGACGAAAAGGCATGTTTGAGCCATTGAAAAGCAACTTGCAGTGACATGTCTTAAAATATGTCAGTGCCATTGTTTTGTCTGAAGATGCACACGAGTAATGTTTTTTTTTTCTAAGCCAGATTTATAAAAGCTACTCAAATGCCATTAATGAACTGTGAATAAGGCCTAATTCTGGCTTAATCTAAGCCATGGCTGTGAAACCAGGCCATCATGTACTGTATCATCATGTTGTAGGCCCTATCCATGTATTTGTAGGTAAGCCAGATGGGGAGAATACCTGTAGTGTTGTGCAGTGTGATTTTGAAGAATATTTGTTTTCTAATTTGTGTAGAATTATTATATATGTATCATTTATGCTTTTATTAATTGAGAGACTACAAGGACGGTCAGGTAAAGGCTTGACTTGATAATCCAGATTCAAGAGGCTTGAATGAATGATGAATTCATTTTCAAATTAATTCGCAGATGAATGGCGAAATAACATTTAGGAACAATAATGAGAAACACCAGCATGAAACGTTAACACAAGACAATGAACAGAGAATAGGCTTGTTTGAGATGAACAAAATCTGCGCAGAACCGATCACAAGTGATCATCGCAAGATGCATGTCAGTGGGTTAGAAATGTGTCAGTGCGGTCCGACTTGCTCTGATGTCATTCGGCTTTATTGTCAATCAAACCATGCAACCGTACATTATGCAGCAGACTGAAATTGCTTTCCTCTATACTCCAATGTACAATATTAATACAAAATTTAACATCTACTAAACATAGACGGCAAGTCACTGTAGCCGCCTACTCTCGCATTCATTTCAGGCGAGGCAAGGCGCATCTCAAACAAGCCTAATGACTGAAGGTTTAAAATACACTAGAATGATGACAAGGTCATAGTGATTAGTTAACAGGAAACAGGAACTGAACATACGCACAACCGGCACATCCGGGAACTTAACTGTCAATTTTGTCCCTGCCCCCTTTTGGGGGAAACAAACTAGACTCCCTATAGACTTCAATACAAAATAACGTCCGTACACAGCCGACAGGCGTAAATAACTTAAGAAATCATTTATATAAAACATGTCAAGTAATTATATGTCCACCCTGCCTGCCATAGAGCGTGAAAGATAAATTTTTTTATACCCGTTATCAACTTGCCCAGGCTACCTGCCATCATCATCATAAATTCATAATATATACATATATATTATATGTAAGGTTTATGTATATGTTAGGTTAAGGTACATATATATAATATAAGGTTTTTTACTTTAAAAAAATTAAATAAAATCATTCAGGGGCTTACCTGGTGACTCGATTAGGTAAAATGTCCGGGTAAGACACCTATGGCCACTGGGTGGGGTTGTTAGCCCAATTTGATGCTGGGAGAATAAAGGGACATGTTTTTAATTTGACCAAATTAAGATTGTGTATGTAACTTTCACACTCTGTGGCAGGCAGGGTGGACATATAATTACTTGACAAGTTTTTATATAAGTGATTTCTTAAGTTATTTACGCCTGTCGGCTGTGTACGGACATTGGTTTTTGCTGTTATTTTGTATTGAAGTCTATGGGGAGTCTACTTTGTTTTCCCCCAAAAGTGGGCGTGAACCTATTCAGAGACATTCTATGACGCAGCGCCGGTCGTGCGTATAGGCACAATAAGAAAATCAAAATAGTGAAAACGTGACAGACTATTTGCACTTTTAAAAATGTGTGTGTGTGTGTGTGTGTGTGTGTGTATATATATGAAGAGTTCAGATGCAAAAGCCTCTAAATGCCATTTGAAATTTTCTTCTTTAATGATGATTTTTATCAAACTTGTATATTTAAGTTCAGTAATTTCACTTAAATAACAATTAATAGGTAATTATCATTGCCATTAGTGAAATCACTGAACTTAAATATACAAGCTTGATAAAAGTGATCATTCTAGAAGAAAATTTCAAATGGCACTTAGAGGCTTTTGCATCTGAACTCTTCATATATTGTTTTTTATTGTTTAGAAATGTTTATAAATAAAAATGGTTGTGTATTTGTAAAAATCAACAAATGTACATTTCTTTCAACTCTAATTAATCTATTATTAACCGGGACCAATTTCTTTCTGCTCGGTCAATGCGAAAGGAGGCAACCTCAGCTTCCACCCCATTGGCCAATGAGCCATCCATCGACGTGGATGACCTGGAGGAGTTCATTCTCAGACCCGCCCCCCAAGGGGTGACTGTGAAATGCAGGATCACACGAGATAAGAAGGGCATGGACAGGGGCATGTACCCCACATACTACCTCCATCTGGAAAGGGAGGACGGCAAGAAGGTCAGACACACCAAAACACTGATTATTCCCAGTTTTTCAAAAGAGTTTTGCCTTATTTGTAATTCATCATTGTGGTGCACCAGCAATCAAGTCCTATCAGTGATACTCCATTCCTCCAATTTGCCGAAGTGCTTGACATGATTGATTCTGATGAAAGGAACCAAATTTAGCCCACATGGATATTTAGCTGCTATACATGACAATTAACCATAATATTGCTTCCCTGGGCAAGTGTTTATCTTAAAAATATCATGGCTAATCGTAAATCACAAAAAAATAATGTGTTCTATGCATCTTGTTTACAGAATGAATATATATATATATATATATATATATATATATATATATATATATATTTCACATTATTCACACACACACAGCTGTATGTCTATTAGTTGTTTGTCTATTAGCTGCCATTCCTCAAAATACAGAAACGCTTTCCCAGAATGTTTATATAAGGTCTCTTTCTCTGATGGATCTTTTAATGGCAGTTTTGTGCTGCTGTTCGGTGCCCAATTAAATTCTGTCGCACTTTAGGTTTTCCTTTTAGCCGGGAGGAAGAGAAAGAAGAGCAAAACATCCAATTACCTCATCTCCATCGACCCAACTGACCTATCACGAGGTGGCGAGAGCTTTATTGGCAAACTGAGGTATAGTTAAAGATGATTCATCATGTCTTGTGATTCATAAGGTAGCGTTTCCTAAATCTATGGTGTTCTTGTAAAGATAAGAGAAACGTGTCTCTTTCTAAACATTCGAGAGGGAGCTTTAGTGAGTTCACGTGGATCTGTGCACTGCTGAACCTATTTAAAACTGTAATTGGGTTCATTGCTGGTGTGCTGGAGTGTCCTCATATTCATATGAGGAGAGAGTAACTGCATGCATGTTGATGTCTGAGTCTCAATACGGCATTTTTTTTTTTAAAACAAACTTAATATGAAATATATTAAAATGCCATATTTCTTTCTTTTTTTTTTTTCTTATGATTTGGGGGTAAAATATGGATAGACATAGTCTTGGCAGTCTTTGGTAGACTCACCCTTTTTCTGTGACAGGATCCAGTCTTAATTGTAAGAGTTTCTTCAATAAGTGCAATATTATCCCCACAGATCAAACCTTATGGGTACCAAGTTTACAGTATATGACAGCGGTTTGAACCCAGTCAAGACCACCTCCAGCCTAGAAGCAGGGAATCTACGACAGGAGCTTGCAGCGATCTGCTATGTGAGTTTGTGAGCATGGTGTTGGTCAGTGGCCAGCAGAAAGCCATCACCCAGCCCTAAGGGCACAGTGGCCACTAGATCATAGATCCACAAGCAATGATGAGCCAAGTCTGACCTCTGCTGGTTGGTTTTGTGCATAGAAATACCATTGATAAAGGGAAAACGGTTTAAAATGATTTATTATTATTTAATTTAGATGTGAATGATTGTTTGTCTTCTGTTCTACAGGAAACTAATGTTTTAGGGTTCAAGGGGCCTCGAAAGATGAGTGTCATAATTCCTGGAATGAACATGGACCATGAAAGAGTCTCAATCAGGCCTCGAAATGTGAGTGCAGGGCTGTTTAGAATGCCTTTGTGTGTATAAATATGAAAAATAAACATGAAACAGAAGTTGTGATAGTCTTTTAGTCCCGTCGTGATGGAGATCCGAGTGAAACGGCTCGGAAAAGAAAAATCTAGACCAGGACTTTATTTTGCCCATCGGTAATTGATTAGTAGGGCACATGAATAATAATAAAAAAGATGTTTACAGATAAATCATTTATAATAAAAACTGCAATATTTCATTAAAAAATAGGAACTAGGAATTCTAGTAATGAAAAAAATTTGAATAGTATATTTTGTTCAATTTTCCAGGTGCTTAAACATATCTTCTATGTGAAATGACTTGCACTATGAAAATAGAAAAAACCTTTGGAGGAAGGAGAGGCAGTTCAAATGTGCACATGATGATATCATTGAACACATTATTAATTTGCATTTTACTTAAATCATTTACAGTATTTTTTATGTTACATGAGCAGTAAAATACAATGTAATGTCTGTTTTGGGCCAGTGCAGAACAATAGTCATAGGAAACCAAAAAATGTTGACCTATATTTTATAAACAGATGTTAGTATTTGCAGCAAAGTTAAATGCTCTAAAGGAAAGCTAATCCTCCCCCACATCTGTCTATCGCAGGACCATGAGTCTCTACTGGCTCGATGGCAGAACAAAAGCACTGAGAGTGTGATAGAGCTCCACAACAAGACGCCTGTGTGGAACGATGATACTCAATCATATGTGCTGAACTTCCATGGCAGAGTCACACAAGCATCTGTCAAAAACTTTCAGATCATTCATGACAATGACCGTGAGTGAAACAAAAGCGTACACCACATACCCTAGAGATGGATTTGATTTGTTCTTTACTGTACCGAAGAAAAGTAGCTCATTTTTCTGTATTCTCGCTCTTTTCTGCATACAGCGGATTACATTGTGATGCAGTTTGGCCGTGTAGCAGAGGATGTCTTCACAATGGATTATAACTACCCCATGTGTGCCCTGCAGGCATTTGCTATTGCTCTGTCCAGCTTTGACAGCAAACTAGCCTGTGAGTAGCCATGTCTCTCTGCCAGCCACAACCACGTAAGAACCCAGCCAGACTGCTTTACAAGCTGAATCACTGAGTCAAGGGCTGTGGTGAACTCCAAGGCAGCAGAGTCCCTCTCAAGACCCTCCTTTGAAGGCATGAATGTGTAGCGTTTGTGTCTTTGTGTGAATGTATGTGAGCAAGATGTGTGTGTGAGTGAGTTAGGTTTCTGCTCTTTTCTTTTTTTTTTAAAAAAAAATGGGCATCAGAGTTGGGGGAAAGCACAAAGACTTCACAATTCAAGAGATTGTCGGAATATGGTGCATTCATTTGAATCGACAGTCAACATCTCCTAGTCGCTTTCTTTACTTAACCGACAAGGTAACACTAACATTTTGCTAATGTGAAAATAAGGATATTTTACAGTAGTACTTTTTTCCCTAAGATTAAAATCATACGTCATTTTGCCATGGTCATAATTTAATGTTCACTAACAGTTTGGATATTTTACTTAATTAACTTTTGTCAGACGATTTTCAAATGTGACATTTCTTCAGTTATACGTGTCACGTGTGTCATTTAATACATCGATTCATGTTTCACTCCAAAGCCAGTATGAAGTATGACACACTAACATATTTATCCATTATTTATGTATTTATAGATTTCCATTCCATCTTCTGCTTGTGTCTTACCCCATGTCCATAATTCACAGTGCTTCAAGCACAAAACTTGACCAGGGCAACTTCACATCTGAGCTTTTGGTGCGGATTCATTACAATTCAACTGATGAATGTGTGACACTTCCACAAAATAGATGGTAATCATTATCAGTTCATGTCCTTCTGCACTTAAACTGCCTCAATTATGCTATTTTAAAGATTCCTAATTCTGTTTTGGAGGTCTCCTGAAATAGGTTTACATGTCCAAGGTTAAAAAAAAAACACTTTAATTTTCTCATAATATGCATTGCTGCATTGACTCATTTTTTCACAGTGTCTTAAATGGTTCATTAAAGGATTCGCCCAACAAAACGCTCATTACCATATTTGAATTTCAGCTCCAGAGGCTTCTTCAGCACTCGTATACACAGTGATATGAATAGTAGGCTAATGATGGTGTCAGTGTTCGCAGGCACTGCGAAACAAACTTGCTTTTGCAAATTTGGTTCAAAATTTGGTTCAAAACCAAAATTTGGTACAAACCTTCGAAGGTTCGTGCAGTAAGTAAGATTGAAATTTCGGATAACTCATTTCACGCAGTTAAGAATCAATTCTTTCTTTTGGGAGACAACAACTCCATTTATCGTACATTTTAATCTTTGGAACTTTGTAGGCCTATTACATTTACAAACAGCTATATGACATGCTACTGTACATGAAAGGAAATATATACGAATAAGCATAATGGGGCACTTTAAAACAGTTTATCTAGTGTTTGAGTGGACATGAGATCCTAAAACAGTTGTAATGTCATTTGAAGCAACCAAAATGAATGGTTCACCAGTAGCTCAAGTATGAAAGACCCAAATAGTGGCAGAAGAGTGTAGTAAATGTATTTTATGTGAGGGTCAATATCAGGGTAAGTACATTATCATCTCATACTGACCCACTACATCTGTAGGGGAATGTACTGAATGGAGCACTTTATTCAGAGATTAATGGTAGAACGCTGTAAATATTGTGCCTTTGGACAAGACACTTGTGATGCTTGAAGTTGGTGAGATACTTTGTTTTCTTCAGACAATGTTATTTATCGTGCAGATACTTATAAGCTTCTGTCGTTGTTCTTGAGAACAACCTGTGCATTTGCAGTAGGCTATACTGGGCTGTAACGTACATTTCCAAAAAGATCAGGTTTAGGCTATGTTTACACGGAAACGATTCTAAAGAGAAAACGCAAAAGTGGCGTTGTGTTATCACTTTTTATCCTGCTTTTAGACGAGCGTTTTGGGTGGGAAATCCGCCTGTATATGATGACTCAAAGTATGTGAAATTCAGTGTAGTATGCACTACAGAGGGCTAGGAGTGCTACAACAACACCAAGTCCGCGCGCCTGCGTAGTGCGTACAACCTTCACTCAAGCATCATAGGTCAAGCATACTTTTGCGTTTTCACACGGTAACGCGGCGGTGGAGCGTTTAAGATTTCCACTCTGGAGGGTGGTTTCACTTTTTTGTGTTTTTAAGCCCCAGAAACGCAGTCGCCGTGTAAACGAAAGGCACATCCGATAAAATATTTTTTTTTACGTTTTCACCCGCGAGCGTTCTCGTGTAAACAAGCAGTTGCCTGCTTGTGGAGTAGGTGATTTTTCAGAACAGAGAAACTAATTATTTGACACAGTGAGACGAGTACTGTATGTTTACATGCACAAGTTTGATTTTTGTCGGCCTAAAATTATGATTTGCCATGTAAACACTTTAGTCCAATTGAAATTTTAGACTCCGTGCTTGATGGCTGGATTATAACTGTGCATGTAAACATGCTTAGTGACAGTTTTTTCAAGTTCTCTAAAATTTCCTACTGCGTGAAGATATAGTAGTTTTGAAATATGTGGCTGAACAAAGTGTCTCTGGAATTTACATAACTCAAATGATCATCCTGTAATTGTTAAAGCTTGTACACTTCTGTGTCTTTGCTAAACAATGCAGATGAATGAAGAAGGGAAATTGTATGAAGTTGTATTATCAGTGTGGCAATTTAATAAAAAAAAATGTCCTTAAAGCCAAATTATAAAGCATTGCAGAAGTCTTCAGATGGCCACACTGATTTACTAGCTCTGCTCCATTACGGATTATTATGCCTTGAAGTTGATTTTTATCATACCATTTTTCGCTTCAGTTGAATGTCACAACAAAGTCTTGGAAATTGGAGAAATCAAAAAAAAAAAAAAGTGGTTATTGAGTAAAATATAATAACATTAATGTTGGATGAATGTTTTCAAGAAATTAAATAATCCCAATTTTATTCTCTGCTGAGTGCTCTTTCAAGTGTGTTGTCCACCAAACAAGGAAAAAACCTTCTTAATTTCACAGTGCAGTGCATTTTAGGTTAAAAATCACCTACTAATATTTAAAGTCCCCGTGAACCGGAAGTCGCAAACGATTTTTCTCCAGTGCTGTGACGTATTTCCAAGTGAAACGGAATATTGAACAGAGGGCAGGGTTTTACTCTAGCGCTCCTCCTCTCCATCTCTCGCTCATTGTAAACTAACGGTTTGAGGGGAGTGGTTAAGCGTTTCCCCACCCAAACTGTGAAACCTACGTCATCAGAAAAAGAAACCGTTCCAGACCGGAAGTAACTTTTCAGATTTTGATTAAAGATTACCAAGGTAAAACATTTTTTTAATATATTTTTACTTGCACGGATTAATTGTTCACCACAAGACTAGTAATATGCGCTAACAAAGTAAATAGGTTCAATTTTGATTTCACAGGGACTTTAAAATGTTTGTATGTCTTATCAATCCGAGATAAATGCAAGAAATGTGCTGCAAATGGCATACCTTTTTTGTTACTATTCTCTTTGGTCTTAAATAATGTTGTGGCTTCAGACATCACATTTTGAAATGTATATCTTTCCCTCCAGAAAAAGTATTTTTACGGTTACTTTTTTAGATAAGAACATAAAGTGTATATTAAATTCTTTGGCCAAATTGCAAAGAAATATGTGTAAGTTATAAAAGTTTGTTTTTTAACTGCCTCGTGATACCATTCCAGCACTTTCTATACTTTATGTAATTCTCTAACAGTTTTGGGTTTGCTCTAAATGGTTAAAAACACTGAAGATTAATGTGTTTTCTGCTATTTTTTATATGTTTGAAAAAATCTCACCACTCTTGTGTTAAAGTGATAACGTATAACTGTTATGTCACTGTTTTGTAAAATGTGTACATTGGTCAATATACAGTGTTTGTACGCAAGATATGAAAAAAATAAATTGAACATCTCAAATATTTAAGATTAAATCGTTTTATGTGCTGTACTTCTATGTTCATGAAATAATGTCCATACAAGCTATTTTGTTCAAACTTTTTATTGGCAAAGATTTTCTTTGAAAAAAAAAAAAAGAACTTAAGTGTTTATTATAACATAACAAACTCTGAACTCTAAAGAAACCTTTAATTTTATTTTACTAGACAAGCCTAAATGATTACAGAGAAACTCAAAAGTAATAGTTCACTTCAAAATAAAATTATTCTATCATCATTTAATCATTTACTCACCCTAAAGTTATTTAAAATCTGTATGAATGTCTTTCTTCTGCTGAACACAAAAGAAGATATTCTGAAGAATGTCGGTAACCAAAAAGTTTATGGACCCTATTGACTTGTATAGTATTTTTTTTTCTTACTATGGAAGTCAGTGTGGTCTGGTACAGATAAATGACAAAAATTTGTCTGTCTGAAATTCTGTCTGATTTTTTATTTTTAAGTGAACTATTCCTTTAAGCCTCCTTAAAGGGATAGTTCACTTTGAAATTAATTTTTGATATGTTTTAGCTTACCTCAAGGACATCCAAGATGTAGGTGTCTTTATTTCCACAGTCTTTTCAATTTTTATATTTTTAGGTCAAACCGTTCTTGTGTCAGTCATATAATGGAGGTAAATGGGGTCCACCTCAAAGAAAATGCACAGAGAAGTCCAAATTAAACATGATTTAATGACTCGTCGTAAATGTAAGTACACATTGATGGCCTAAGATACGAAACGAGCGGTTTGTGTGAGAAAATGAACAGTATATTTTTTTTTACCTCATGTAACCGCCATATCCAAGTGATCTGAGGGCGTGGATGCTTTGGTCTGCGCAAGCGCCGGAAGTGATATCTCACGCTTGTACCTCACTCATTGTTTACACTGAGATTTCAGAAGTGTTATCCTTCACTGTGAAGATCTAATCATATTTAGATATACAGGAAATTGCAATGGAAGACGATTTCGATATATATAACACAACAGACAAAGTTGAATATTTTTTTCGTAACTGCGAGAGATCACAGAAGCAGACCTCGCCCTCAGAGTACTTGGACGTGGCTGTGGTTACAAGAGGTAAAAACAATATAAATACTGTTCGTTTTCTCACACAAACCACTCGTTTCGTGTCCTAGGCCATCAATGTGTACTTACATTTACGAGTCATTAAATCATGTTTAATTTGGACTTCTCTGTGCATGTTCTTTGAGGAGGACCCCATATATCTCCATTATATGACTGACAGACAAGAACGGTTTGACCTAAAAATATCAAAATTGAAAATACTGTGGAAACAAAGACACCTACATCTTTGATGCTCTTGAGGTAAGCTTAAACATATCAAAAATTCATTTCAAAGTGAACTATCCACAGTAGATTCACAGCAAGGAATGTTTATAGAGGGTAAATAAACAGAACACCATTGTTTTATTTTGACAGACGGGTCACTTCTTCACCTTTTGTCTCTTGTGGCGCATTCTAAGAGTTCCAGAGGCTTGATCTTCGGAAGACTCTGATGTATTTGAGATGACGGTTACCTCAGGTTGGTATGATTGTAGGAAGTCAAGCAGGTCTACCTCCTGTTCCTCGGGATCACATTCCACATCATCATTAAATCCCAGGCTCTCGGCTTCCATTAGTGGGTCCTCTTCCTTCTCTTCCGTCTCACCCTGCCTTTCTTCATTATGTTGGTCACCATTTTCTTCCTCTTCACAGTCTTCCTCACTAGTTTCTTCCTCTTCATTCCCCCCCTCCTCCTCTTCTTCTCTTTCGTGTTCTTCTTCCTCCTCTGTCTCATATTTGCAGCCAACAGCGCCACCCTTTGGATAATGGAAAACGTGTCTGTGATCACTGAAAGTGATTTGTCGCCTTCTGCTTGGTTTCTGTTTCTCTTCCCCTTCACTTGGGTACTCTAATCTGTCATCATCCTCATCGATTTCTTTAGGAAGGCAGGGCTGGTCCTCTCTAACATCTTCCTCCTCCTCATCTTCATCATCTTCCTCCTCCTCCTCATCATCTTCCTCCTCTTCGTCTTCCTCTTCTTTTTCACCTTCATTACTCTCCATGTTCACCTCCTCGTTACTACGTGCATCCACAGCAAGCTCGTCCTCCTCTTCTTTCTCCATTCTCTCAGCAAGCTCCTCAGCTGTGGGTATGTCTTGGTCTGGTTCTTCCAGTATAACACTAGGAAATCTGCGCCTGCGGGAGGTCATGTTAAACTCTGGGTAGGTCTCATCTGGATATCCTTGGGAAGCAATGAATCAAATTAGACGCAAAATTCAAGAAACGAACAATTGAAACCGTAGCGGACCCAACATAAAACCTTGTGGTATACCTTCCCAGTCTGCAGTATAGGGCGCCTCCTCAGCCTCTTCCTCTGGCGTGGCTCCCTCTCGCAACTGTCTCTCCTTCATCATTTGAGTGATCTCCTTCAACTGTTTGAGCTTTCTCTCCTCACGCCTTCGTGTGCCCCGGCGTGACCTGAAATCAAAACAAGTCGGAAACTACATTAAAACAATTAATAAAAATCACAACCACTGCTAAGACACACCCACATCTCAATGATAATCATGAAGCAAAATTGTACTTTATTTGATCTAAAATGTGCAAGAAGTATGTTCTGTGAATATACAAACACTTTTAAATATTTACATTTATGCATATGCTAGATGCTTTAATCCAAAGCAACGTTGCATTCAGGGTACACATTTTAGAGGTAGGCTATGTGCATTCCCTGCTAGCGTTGCTAGCATGAAGCTTTACTGAGCTACAATACGTTTGTT